GCAATTCCCAACTGTCATGCCTGCAATGGTTCTTGCAGTTGTTGTTGTGTAAGTTCCCTCAAGTTTGTTGTTTACGCAAGGCCCGCAAATCTTGTCAACATTGGACAAAAGCAGCGCCACGCGGCCGCAGTGTTCGGAATTCCCAAAAAAATCACCTGCGCCAAAGCATTGTTGCAAAGAGTTGCTAGAATCACCCTGTAAACAACTTCGATGACTGTGCGACCGCAACAATGGTGTGCTGCTCAACCAGATTCAGCGTGGTTGACCAATTGATCCTCATCGACAACAAGACTATTTTCAGTGAGAAATCAATAGTTTCGCATCGATCCCGCATGTACAAAGCGTTTTGCATCCTTTTTTGATACAGCTAGGTATCTCCTATCAAGAGTACGTTGTCACCAGGACTTTTTCATCTGCGCAGCAAAAAAGAATGAATCAAATATTTCAATGGCTACGGCATGAAACAATGGCTACGGCAGAAGGCCAAGAAGCCAAGGATTACATGGTAATTCAGTGCTGGAGATCAAAAGAAATTTGTGTCTGGCTTGTGTTTGATTCACCGGTTCATCTCCATGCAACATTTGGCTCACGTCCCTTTTTGATTGTGCACAGACGTGTGACACATTTAGAAAAGGCTTGCAGACCGCTTTTGCGGATATTACGGCAAACGAAGCTGGCGGCAAATCCAAGTTGATGTGGATGCCCGCCCTGTGCTACTGCAGGCACAACTCCTCGACCAGGTCATTAAGATAGGTCTCGCTGCGCGAGCCTGTGTTGGAGCGAATCGCTCGCAAGTATCACACCCTTGAAAAGTGTGTGTAAAAACCAATCTATCATACGGGCAACCTGAAAAGAAGCGTCGCTTAATTATTTTGCATTTCAGCGAACACAACAAATCCCTCCGCAATCCTGAAATGCGACAGGGTTGCCAGTGTACTTCGCGCGCTGCACTTACACTGAAAAGCGCAATGTTCGTGTTGGAGGTGCAAGAAGGCTATTTCATGAACTGGTTTCAATTATGCGCTCATTCATTCATTCATTCATTCATTCATTCATTCATTCATTCATTCATTCATTCATTCGTTCATTCATTCATTCATTCATTCATTCATTCATTCATTCTTTCATTCATTCATTCATTCATTCATTCATTCATGTTAAACTTGGAGCAACTGTGTAACCTAGATGCCTGCAGTGTAAACCTGTGAGTGAAGCGAAGCACTGTAACTTTTGCTGCGGGCAATGCGCCAACTACTCCAGCTGCGTTGAGGCTCAAGGCTTTGATTGTACAAAGCAGCATTCCAGATGCATTGGGACGCATGTATCTTGACACACCTCCTCGGGATAATGTGTCTCATGCGCATTCTCCTGAACTGTTGAAAACATGATGTAGCTGGGTGTGTACTAGGCAGTACAAATCTCTTGTGGTTCGTGGTGTCAAAAGCAAGTCTCAGCTACTGTTCCAAGCAGATATTCGACTGTGCCACTCAAGTGCGGAAAATGCGTCGCCTCAAAATTGCTGTTGTATGAACCGTGACGCTCACGCCTTCCTTGGCCTCTTCGCAGTCGATGTTGCAACCGCGTCCATGGTTGCTGCCGGTGCGACGAGCTGTTCCCTGTAGTTGTTCATCTTGCTGACGCGTAACCAGGTGCGGTGATCCTGGTGTCCCCTGATGCGCTCGATGTCCTTGATGTAGTACCGCATCGTGATGCTGCGCTGATGCGCTTGAGGATCTGTAGGCCTGAGTAATCCATCACCTGTGTCGTTGCAGCATGGATTGTCTCATCATCTGTTGAAGCCTGTAGGTCACTCAAGTTGATGAGCCCAAGCGAGACTGTAGGTCCATGAAAATCTCTTGAAGATGTCCTGGCATATTTGCAAGATTTTGCGCCGGCTGCTGCTCAATCTCATCGAACTGCCACTTGCCGTGTAGTGGTGTTGAAGATGGAGGATCTGGTATCCTCTCTCAAATGTACTCATCTGATTCTTGCTCAGCCTGGCGATCATGCGCCTGATGTTCGGCTGAAAGCCGATGACGCACAGCTTGTCCAACTGCGCGAGTGCGATCTTTCGCTCACCCAAAAGGTAAAGCAGTGTTGTAAGAGAGTCAAAAGGGTAGGCGTTGTAGATCATGTGCTCCCAGAATGGCTTCCTCATGCTGACCTGTAGCCCAGTGAAATCTCCCTTCAGACTGATTTACTCCGCTGCTGTCACAGCGATGCACACAACGCTTGTTTGTGCCCGCAGTCTTGTTGATGCGCCACTCCGCGGTCTGACACACCTGACGTTGTAAAACTCACAGATGTAAGCGATGTAAACAACTGCGTGTCGAAACGCTTTCCGGCGCGCTCAGCCGATGTAACAAGGGCGGTCAAAGCCTGCATGTCCACGGTGCGATGTCTCAGAAAGAGTGTGTCTCACTGATGTAAAAGGCTGCGGAGTGCGACAAATCAATGTCCAACATGTATCACGCATGTTGGCGACAAATCAATGTCCAACACATATCATGCAGAAAACTATTGTGAGAGGGGGTTGCATCACTCCCAGAAAAGATGTACCACTGCTCCGGGTTTCCTAGGTGAAACTAAGTTGTAGCGCTTTCACTTTGGTTGTAAAAGAAGAGTAATGTGGAACTGATGTGTGACATACTGCGCAAACTGTGTGAAACTGGTTGCGTTGACCTCACAGGCAAACTGCGCGCAAGCGCTTGTGTCACAGCTGACAAATTTAGTCAGTGTGTCAGCTGGGTTTTCCTTCGGATCTTACTTTGCGCGTTGTGATGGTTTTGCTCTTGACAAGTTGTACGAATAGGTGTCGCAGCTCAATGCGCTTTGCTTTCTTCAACGCGCCTTTTGTCCTTGACATTGATTTTGCTGCGCTGCTGTCTGCGCTGCTGTCTGTGCTGCTGTCTGTGTTGGCGCGCACTTCAAACGCTTCCTTGGAGAAGTTGCTGACGTAGAGGCCCTCCTGCGCTGCTGTACCAATTATGCACAGTTCTGCGCTTGTGTTCTGCTGCCATAGTGCACTGTTGCTCCAAAGAAGCAAAGTACAAATCCTGTTGCGCTTTTCCTTGCTGTCTCGCACGAATCCCCATGATGCCCAGTTGGCATCTGTGTGTGTGTGCCAATGTTGAGTGGAATTCGCTTGTCCTGTGTCTATATCTTTGGTCGCAGGTTGTGTCGCATGTGCCTTATAAACAGGCACTATCCCTACATCTTTGCATATCACCTATTGCATCATAGCCATAAGGCCGAGAAGGTATCTGTGATACCAAACTGCGATGAAAACTGCAAAAACATGTGACGCCTAAGCTTCCTTAACGGTCGTTCAAATACTCTTATCAGGTTTCAAACATTTGCATCTGAACCCCGAAAGGGGGGGGGTGGGCACGTCATCACGAGCTTGTTCTTTTCTTGCTCGGCAGACGAGGGGTATTCTTGGAGGCATATCCAAGACAAAGAGAAAGCATTTCTTCGCAAACGATGGCACACATATCATTTCCCCATGTCTCAAATGATGGCATACAGATCATGCCGGGCGGGTTCTGCAAGAAATGGGAGGGAAGAAAACATCAAGTATGCACCTACCAGAGGCGCACCCTACCCTGCATCTTGAGACGGCGGGGGCGAAACATATAATTTTCAACTCATCCTGAAACAACTTCATGGTTTGCAGCATTTGCACTTCAAGAGACACATGCATCCCAGATCATTGCAGAAGGCCGAGGGGCCCACCGTTCAAAAATATATGCACGAGTCGTGCGTAGCGTCAAAGAAAAATTTCGCCACGCACTCTTGTTCCAGAGTTGAGGCGTGTTAGCAAATCAACGTTTCAGCACGAACTCCTCGACTTGTTATTCATGCACTCGGCAGCTGTCCCGGGACGCCTTGGTCACAAGGCTGTAGCGCCTAGTTTAGAAGCAGCTATTAGACAAGTCTAACTGCAACCTTATAAAAAGGCACTATCCCTACATCTTTGCATATCACCTATTGCATCATAGCCATAAGGCCGAGAAGGTATCTGTGATACCAAACTGCAATGAAAACTCTCGTGCAAAAACATGTGACCCTTAAGGTTCCTTAAGGGTCGTTCAAATACTCTTATCAGGTTTCAAACATTGGCATCTGACATTTGAGACATGGGGAAATGATATGTGTGCCATCATTTGAGATGCGCATCTCGAAGAAATGCTTTCTTGTCTTGGATACGCCTCCAAGATTACCCCTTGTCTGCCGAGCGAGCAAGGAACACGCTTCCGTTTCGTGATGACGCGCTCACCCCCCCCTCTCGGGGTGTGGCACACAGATCATGCCGGGCGGGTTCTGCAAGAAATGGGAGGGAAGAAATACCAAAGGCGCGCCCACCCAATCCTACCCTGCATCTTGAGACGGCGGGGGCGAAACATATAATTTTCAACTCATCCTGAAACAACTTCATGGTTTGCAGCGTTTGCACTTCAAGAGACAAACGCATCCCAGATCTGTGCAGAAGGCCGAGGGGCGAGTCGTGCGTAGTGTCAAAGAAAAATTTCGCAACGCACTCTTGCTCCAGAGTTGAGGCATGTTAGCAAATCAAAGTTTCAGCATGAACTCCTCGACATGTTACTCATACACTCGGCAGCTGTCCCGGGACGCCTTGGTCACAAGGCTGTAGTGCCGAGTTAGAAGCAGCTATTAGACAAGTCTAACTGCAACCTTATAAACAGGCACTATCCCTACATCTTTGCATATCACCTATTGCATCATAGCCATAAGGCCGAGAAGGTATCTGTGATGCCAAACTGCAATGAAAACTCTTCAACAGCCAGGTCAAAAGGGTGCCAAAGCCGCCTCTGCATTCACAAGCTCCTCCTCCGTGCGGTAGATGCCATAAATGCAGTTTACTGACCTTCGGCGCATGGATCCCCGCCTGTCCCTTCATCCACAGGTGTTGAAGGGCTTGACGGTTCTGTCACTCTCTGCTTCTTTCTGGGCATCACTTTCCCCTTCTTCGGTGAGGA